ACTTAAAAAAAATTATAAGGTATGAAAAAAAAAAGCAAAAAACACAACCCAAAGTGAGGAGAAAAGGAATCAGTCAAAACTGATCCAGATATGACACATATGATGGAATAAGTAGATAAGAAAGCAGAGGAGGCCAGGTGCCCTGGCTCACACCTGTAATCCCAGCACTTTGACAGGTGGAGGCCGGTGGATTGCTTGAGCCCATGAATTCGAGACAAGCCTGGGCAACGTGGCAAAACCCCATCTTTATTTATAAAAGTAAAAAAAAAAAAGAAAGCAGAAGAAGTTTTGAACATGTTAAGCAGAGACATTAAAGATGTAAACACCAGCTTAACACCAGTGATAAAGAAAAAATCTTGAAAGCAGCCAGAAATGAAGCCAATTCTAATGTACAGAAAAACAAAGATTTAAAATGACAGTAAACTTCTCACTGGAAAGAAAGAAAACAGTGAAACGAAATCTTTAAAAAACTGAAAGAAAACAACAGTCAACCTAGAATTCTACATCCAGCAAAAATTAAAATACCTTCCAAAAATGAAAGTGAAATATAGATTTTTAGACATACAAAAGCTGAAAGAATACCAAAAGACCTACACTATATGAAATATAAAGGAAGAAGTCATTCAGACAGAAGGAAAATAATATACATGGAAATCTGAACCACACAAACGAATGAAGAGCACTGGAATTGGTAAATACATGAATAAAAATAAAATACTATTTTTCTTACTTTTTAAATGTCTTTAAAAGATAAATATCTAAAGCAAAAGTAGTGACAATGTATTTTGGGGTTTACAGCATATGATGATGTAAAATGCATGACAATAAAACAAAGGCTGGAATGAGGGAAATGAAAATACACCATTGTAAGATTTCTAGACTATAAAGTGGTACAATACTATTTACATAGGGAGACTATGTTAAGTTATGAATTCTAAAGCCATCACTTAAAAAGGGGGGCATACAGGCAGAACAAATAGAAAACAAAGAGCAAAGTGACAGATTTGAATCCAACCATATCAATAATCATATGAAATGTAAATAGTCGCAATCCACTCACTTAAAAAGCAGAGATCATCCAACTGGATTAAAAAATAAGACCCAACCATATGCTGCCTACATGAAATACATTTCAAAAATAATGACACAATAGGTTAAAAGTAAAAAAAAAATCATGCTAACACTAGTCAAAATAAAGCCTATAATTTAATATCAGACTATAAATTTCAGAGCAAATATGATCATGGACAAAAATTACTTCATAATGTCAGTGAGGCCAATTCATCAAGAGGACCTAACAACCATAAATGAACCTAAGAATATATCTTCAAAAACATTAAGTAAAAAATAACAGAACTGTAGGCCATAATTATTGTTGAGTATTTCAACACCTCTCTTTCAATAACTGATAGAACAACTAGATAAAAATCAGCAAAGATATAGAAGAGTTGAATAACACTATCAGTTAACTTGATCTAATTGACATTATACAATACCCTACACAGTGGATGATACATTCTTTTTTTTTTTTGAGATGAGGTCTTACTCTGTCACCCAGACTAGAATGCAGTGGTGCAATCATGGCTCACTGCAGTTTCAACTTCCTTGGCTCAGCGATCCTCCCACCTTAGCCTCCTAAGTAGCTGGGACTACAGGCACACACCACCATGCCCAGCTAATTTATTTTTTATTTTTTGTTTTTTGTAGAGATGGGGTTTTGCCATGTTGCCCAGGCTGGTCTCATATTCCTGAGTTCAAGTCATCTACCTACCTCAGCCTCCCAAAATGCTGGGATTACAGGCACAAGCAGGTTATACATTCTTTTCATGTTTACAAGGACTGTTTACCAAAATAGATCATATTCTGAGCCATAAGTCGCAACAAATTTAAAATAATTCAAGTCATAGGAAGGGTGCTCTGTAACCACAATGGAATTAAATTAGAAATCAGTAATAGAAAGATGGAACATCTCCAAATATTTGGAAACAAAATAACACACTTCTAAGAATTAAAAATTCTGCCTGTTTTGAAGAAACGGTAAATTTCTTTTTCTTAGATTATGACTTATGATATAAGTTACGTGGTTTTTGCCTAAACGACCAACAAGCTCAGGGCTACACAAGCGTTTAATCACGATAATCCTATCTGTTCTTAAATCATCCATTCATTCAACTCAGTGTGAGTATCTACTATATTTTATAGAATCTAGAGATACAAAGTGAATATAGTACAGTTCTTGTCGTAAAGCCCAGTTTAATGGTCAGGTCTAGTGAACAGTACATTTGTCAATCTCAACTATTTTCATTTACTGACAGTCTCTACTTTCCTAACAGCTATTCTGTAAATATGTCCTTTCTTTAAAATTGCTTTTAATCCTTTCAGAAAAAGCTGTTGGCCCCTTGCCACACCCAACTAATGCATAATAATTTTAATATTAGTCTATATAAACATAATTCAAAATGTATGAAATTATGAAAAATGTATAATGTACTTGGCAAGGCCAAATAATGATAGATTTCTGGATGATTTATAACACTGTTCCCCTCTCCTGGAGTAAATAACCTAGAGTTGACTATCTTTAAATATATCATCAGCAACAATCTAAGACTTCTGACAAAAAAGGAACAAAAAAGTAACTCAATGGATGGGAAAATAGTGCTCAAGTTTTAGTGAAAGTATTCTCTTAGTGAAAAGGGAGCTCAGGAGGTACAGAAAAGTTAATCCAATGCCAAGGCACACAACAGAGCTACACACTCAGTGAGCACCAAGGTGGTACGACCGAGCCACACTCAGTGAGCGCCGAGGTGGTACGACAGGGCCGCGTTCAGTGAGCACTGAGGTAGTATGACAGAACTGCATTCAGTGAGCTGAGCGCCTCCGTAAAATGTGGGGGCTGTAACCCATGATCTCCAAGGTCTCTTCCAGTTCTACAATTCTATGGACCTATATGGCTGAATTGTCAAAGAAAATATCTCAAAGGAAGCTCTGTTGTACCCCCTCACAAGTTATTTAACTTATTAAAACTAAACTTGATAATGCCACATAACACATTCTAGGTGCTGTACTAGATGTGACATGGAAGAAGAACTCTCGATTTCATCAGCAGTCAGAGGCTCTGAGTCTTAGTTTCGGTTTCAACTTACTAAAAGGTATGAGCAATTCTAATGTAATTGCTCTGATTCTTAGTTTCCTAGATGAGAAAAAAGATGAAGAAATATATGCTATGCAACCGTTAGAGAAAGAGACCAATTTCTCACTGTGGATAGCTAAAAAGGCATCTTGGAGACAAACCATGAAAAGATAGATGGAAATCAGAGGGATGAGCAATGCTAGTAAGTTGTATAAAAGCTGCATGATGTAACAGAGATGGGCTTTGAAGGCAGATGAACATTTTACAACCTGGCCTTATCCCTTCCAACTCTGTGATCTTTGACAATTCAGCTTTCTGAGTTTCAGTCTCCTAATCTAAAATAGACAGGCTTACTATGTAATTTTAAGGATTAAATATAATAGTTATAAAACATCTAGCATAGCTGGGTGTAGTGGCTCATGCCTATAATCCCAGGACTTCGGGAGGCTGAGACAGGAGGATCACTTAAGCCCAGGAGTTCGCGGCCAGCCTGGGAAACATAGTGAGATCCCGTCTCTACAAAATATAAAGAAAATTAGCCAGGCATGGTGATGCACACCTGTGGTCCAACTACTCAAGGGACTGAGGTAGGAGGATCTCTTGGATGTGGGAGGTGGAGGCTGTAATGAGCCTAGATCACGCCACTGCACTCCACCCTGGATGACAGAGCAAGACCCTGTCTCAATCAAAAATAAAAAAAAAATAAAAAATTTAAAAATCTAGCATAATACTCAAAAAATAAAAACTTTAATTACTAAAGGCCTGTAGACTGGAGATAAAAGGCATGACAGGAAGTAACAGATTGGTAAAGCAGAGGGCATGTTTATAAAAGTAGGTGGGTGCCAATATGTAGAGGGCCTGAACAATTTGTGGGGAAGGTCGGGGGCAAGGCAGGCCTGACCAGTTTGTTAGCTAACGGCCCAGAATTGGAAATGGGGTTCTGTAGGGTTAGGACTTCATTAGCAAAGGCTTCAGTCGTAAGTGCAATTCAAGACAGAGTCCATTAAGGAAATCTGAGATTTAAAATAATGGGAAGATCAAGCATCAGCAGTGGCAGAGATTAAATCCAAAGTGACATGGCAGGACTGGGATGCTGAAGTTTGGCAGAGATGAAGTGTGAATTACGAACTGCATGGGAACAAGTGAGGAGCATCCTAGGTAACTGCTTGGAACGCCCCTGAGTTGTGTGTAGCCTGACTCTATTGGCAGGTGTGGTGCTTGGGTATTTCAGTATGCTGAAGGAGTCAGAAGCAAAGCAGACATCTTAGGCTTTATGTTGTACATGACTGAGGAAGGCAGTTAGCAAGACACGGTCAGATCTGTGATTTAACTTCTCAAATCTATGGCAGAGTAAAAGGTGCATAGGAAAAGAAAAGACCGAAAATACAGTGAGGAAGTTATTTCAAAAGTCCAGGTAGGAGGTAATGTGAGCCCGATCCAAGACCATGGTAATGAGGATGGGAATAGAAAGAAAGTAGCAAATGGATATATTTCAGGGAAAAATTCTAACAGGATACAGCAATTCACAGGATGTGGCATATTTAAAGAAGGAAAAGGAATACATTACTAGTAAGGTTTTGAGCTGCATGACAAGGAAGATGGTGATGCCACTTAGCAGGGGACACAGAAAGAAGTCTTCTCTTCTTGGCAAGAAGAATCACAATACACGGAGTTTACAACTGACTATTTTAAGGCATACTTAAAAGATCTTCAGGTGCCTGAATGTCACCAGAGGGCCACAGCTTCCCCTACCCACCATCTAAACTTTAAACCATTTCATCTCCTCTTTGACAGTATCTGTGACTCAAGCTAACAGAGGAAAGGAAAGGGGTGAACATCAAGAATTTCATAAAATGTATCCAGTACTTACCTTTACAGCTAATATTTTCCCACTGGGGACATGATATGCTCTATGGGAAGAAAAAAAACCAAAATCATTTGGGATCACTAAACAACCTACAAAATGGTTAAAGACATGAATGTAAATCCAAACATTTCTGCAGCAATGGGATACATGGTACTTTCAAAGAACACTAACAACAGTAGTAATTTACATTTATATGGAGCTTAATGGTTTACGAAGTGATTTACTACACATTACCTTAAAATAACTCTCTGAGGTAATGCTGATACATTATTATCCTCCTTTTATAGATGAGAATTCTGAAGCACAGAGAAGTTAAACAGTTTGCCCAATGGCACAAAGTAACTAGTGGCAGAATGAGACCTCAAACCTAGGTCTTTTGGCTCCAGATCCCTTATGACTGTCACTGTGTGTGTGGGTTCTCTATGTTAAGCAGTATACAGAGCCATTTTGCTTTCTTTTTTTTTTTTTTTCAATTTTTTTGCTTGTCTTTTTGCCTGTTTTTTTCAGTTACACATACAGATAAACTATATCTTAACAGTTCATCAAAACAAGCTCAAAGGAACAGATATAGTGAAATAACTACAACTTAAATCAAGAAATATAAGTGTATTCATTTATGAAAAAGAACGAGAATAGGGTTTACAGAAATAAAATACCATTACTATCCATCAAGACCTTTTATGTTTATCTGATTGAGTGAGTGACTGATTCAGACAGGGGCTCTCTCTGACACCCAGGCTGGAACGCAGTGGCGTAATCACAGATCACTGCAGCCTCAAACTCCTCGGCTCAAGCGATCCTCTCACTTCAGCCTCCTGAGTAGCTAGGACTATAGGCACATGCCACCATGCCCAGCTACTTTTTAATTTTTTTTGTAGAGACAGGGTCTCTGGATGTTGCCCAGGCTGGCCTAGAACTGCTGACCTCAAGTGATGCTCCCACCTCAGTCTCCCCAAGTGCTAGGATTACAGGAGTGAGCCACCGTACCTTTTATGTTTAAATGAAATGTGGCCTTTACACATATACTGTGGGGACTAGATATTCTGCACATTATTTAGAAACCATCTGCAACACATTTTTATACAATAAAAATTTCAAAATAAACCACATAACATAAACAAGCATTGTTATTGCAAGCCCATGAAAATATTAATATAAGGAAGCAAGTTAGTTTCGAAGAACTAAAAATCTTGCCCTGTAGAGGATTTTATACACTAGCTAAGATCAGATGGCACTTCCTCTCATCTGGTGTTAAGATGGGAATGGCATAGGGAAAACGGGGAACAGAAGTTAGTGCCTCAGGAATTCCTCATCTTCACCTGCCCAGTTGTAAAACATATTTAATGAGCCCCCAAACTTCCCCTTTCTTAAAACAAAAATAAAACCAAAATTTACATAATCCACTACTGCCAACATGGAAACATCATTTTCTACTGTTCTGCAGAAAATCTGGTTGCTCTGACAACTTTTTTTTAAGACATTTATTCAGCATCATGATCAGACTATTACATTTAGCAATCAATAGCATGGGTGCAAAAAAAAAATCTACATTAAAACACTTTGTTGGAATGCTTTAAACTTTCCACAGAACAGGAACTAAACTAACCTGTTATACAATTAGAAAAATACAGTCCTTGAGTTTTTTGCCCATCCACATGAGTATCTGTCTAAAACATGTCTTCTTTGTACCAGCTAGGCCCTGCCACCACTGTGCTTGGCTGAGTTCACAAATCTGTTGTAACCTGTAGCTTCCCTGTCACTTCTCTGGCTCTCCTCTTTTGCTAAGCTTTGTTTCCTGGCGGTAATTAAAATCTTCTACCACTGCCATAGCTACTGCTCCTACTGGAACCGCCATAGCCACCTTGGTTTTGTGGTTGGGCAAAGTATTGGCTTCCACCACCATAGGGGCCAGAGCTTTTGCCTCCAAAGCTTCCTCCCTTCATGGGTCCAAAATTTGAAGACTGATTGTTGAAACTGCCAAAATCATTGTAGCTTCCACCACCTCCAAAATTGCTTCCATCATTACTAAATCCATTATAGCCATCCCCACTGCCACCTTATTCACCACCACTACTACCACAGCTGCCATTAAAGCCACCACGACCACTTAAGTTTCCCCCATGACCAAAGTTGTCATTCCCACTAAAACCACCTCCACAACCACGACCAAAGTTTCCAGAGCCACTTTGACCTCTGGCTGGCTGAAGCACTAGCCATCTCTGCTTTGACAGGGCTTTCCTAACTTCACTGCTGTGGCCATTCACAGTATTGTATTTCTGAACGACAGTCTTATCCACGGAGTCATGGCTATCAAAGGTTATAAAGGCAAAGCCCCTTTTCTTGCCACTGCCTCAGTCAGTCATGATTTCAATCACTTCAATTTTTCCATATTATTCAAAATAATCTTTTAGGTGATAGTCTTCAGTGTTTTTGTTTGTTTGTTTGTTTGTTTTTTAGATGGAGTCTCGCTCTGTTGCCCAGGCTGGAGTGCAATGGCATGATCTTGGCTCACCACAACCTCCACCTCCCAGGTTCAAGCAATGCTCCTGCCTCAGCCTCCCGAGTAGCTGGGATTACAGGTGCCCGCCACTACACCCAGTTAATTTTTGTACTTTTAGTAGAGACAGGGTTTCACCATGTTGGCCAGGCTGGTCTCGAACCCCTGACCTCATAATCCAACCACCTCAGCCTCCCAAAGTGCTGGGATTACAGGCGTGGGCCACTGCGCCCGGCCTTCAGTGTCTTCTTTAACCAACAAATACCTTTTTCACAGTTAAGTGGGCACCGGGTCTTTGACAATCTCCTCTTGAGACAGTTCTCTTTGTTTCCACAGCAATTCCATCCACCTTGTGTGGCCTTGCATTCCCGGCTGCATCCACCTCCTCCACAGTGGCATATGTGACAAACCCAAAGCCCCTGGGGCGCTTGGTGCTTGGATCTCTCATGACCACACAGTCCGTGAGTGTTCCCCATTGGTCAAAATGGCTCCTCAGGCTCTCATCGGTTGTTTCAAAGTCCAGCCTCCAATGAAGGGCTTCCTCAGCTGTTCAGGCTCTTTAGGAGACTCTGACTTAGACATGATGGCAGGCAGAAGAGAGACTTTAAGGATGTTTCCTCTGCAGTGTCCACAGGCAGAAAGGACTGACAAAATTTTTTAACAGCTTTACTGAGATATAATTTACATAAGATAACATTCACTTGTTTTAAGGGTACATTCAATACTTTTTCGTAAATTTACAGAGTTGAACCATCACTGACAAGAGTTTTTGAAGGTGACTGACTTATAGAAATAATTTAGTTATTAAGAGCCTATAGGTATTTATAATATCGTTTACATGTAAAAAGTTACAAATTCAGGCAAGACTAGGAAACTACATATATAAAGCATATGTATATACTTATCCAAATATATGATTGTTATAAGAACTTACTCATTTTGCTTTTCCTACTTGAGTGGACAAAAGTCAAGCCAGTTATGGAAGGTAAACTTAACTTTTATTATATCAATTAATTATAAAGAAATTCAAGTATATCCCATTTAAAGGAAAAGCAAGATTACAAAAATCAGGTGACGATTGTTTACTTTACCAAAGAATTATTTAACCTTTGAAAATGTCTAAAGACATTCTCAAATAACAACCTCATTGGTATTTCTAAATACTACTTATAAAACTTTAATCAGGTTGGGAGCAGTGGCTCATGCCTGTAATCTCAGCACTTTGGGAAGCCAACGCAGGAGGATCACTTGAACCCAGGAGATCAAGACCAGCCTGGGCAATGTAGGGAGACCTTGTCTTTAAAAAAAAATAATAATAATTAGCTGGCATCGTGGTGTGTGCCTGTAGTCCTCTATAGTCCTCCTGTAGGGACTACAGGGGCTGAGGCAGGAGGGTTGCTTGAGCCCAGGAGGTCAGGCTGCAGTGAGCTATGATCGCACCACTCCACTACAGCCTGGGTGACAGAGCGAGACTCTGTCTCAAAGATACAGAAAATAATAATAAAACTTAATCAATTATTATTTTCTTCAGAGACAGGGTCTCATTCTGTCTCGCAGGCTGGACTGCACTGCTGCGATCTTATTAGTTCATTGTGACCTTGAACTCCTGGGCTCAAGCAATCCTCCCACCTCAGCCTCCCAAACTGCTGGTACTACAGGAGTATACCACCACGCCTGGCTAATTTTTTTTTTAAAGTTTTTTAAGAGATGAAGTCTTGCTATGTTGCCCAAGTTGGTCTCAAACTCCAAGCCTTAAGCGATCCTCCCACCTTGACCTCCCAAAGCACTGGGATTACAGGTGTGAGCCACTGTGCCCAGTAAAATAATTTTTTATACTTTGTACAAAGTGATACACATTTTATAAGTGGAACCCTATCCCCTATATTATGTTTTTTGTTTGTTTACTTGTTTAAGACGGAGCCTTGCTCTGTCGCCCAGACTAGAGTGCAGTGGCGCAGTCTCGGCTCACTGCATCCTCCGTCTCCCAGGTTCAAACAATTCTCCTGCCTCAGCCTCTCAAGGAGCTGGAATTAAGGCGCCCACCACCATGCCTGGGTAATTTTTTTTGTATTTTTAATAGAGACAGGGTTTCACCACGTTGGCCAGGCTGGTCTCAAACTTCTGACCTCAGGTGATCTACCAGCCTCCCAAAGTGCTGAGATTACTACAGGTGTGAGCAACCACATCTGGCCTGAAATGTGATTTAAAGGAAATTAGTAAGTTTATTCCATGTAAATACAAGTAATATAATATGTAAGACTTTGTGATACATTATTTTTCCCCTTCCACATCACAGATTCTTCCAATTCCAACTTTTAAAAATATTGTATATTAGAATCACTAACCAAGAATTGAAATATAATGACAAATAATTAAATATATACACAAGGATTCAAAAGTTGTAAAAAGATCAGTGTTGTTACTTTGAATAAGCAACACCTGGATGTCTGAGACCAGCAACAGCGATAAGAAAATGATTAGCAGATAGTCTGAGATACATACCATACTGGACAGTTTGGCAACTTAATTAGCTTGTCAAGAAAGCC